TTTTCACGGTGTATAATTTACCTTTTCATCATTACTGTTTCATTAGAAACACCGACGCAGCTCACACTAGTTTTTAGCTAGTTATATCTTTTCATTAAGATATTCATGTAAGAGCTCCAAATTTTGTCGCAAAAAAGCTTTTTTTAGCTTTGTGAAATAAATAAATCACTAGTTTCATTTAAGTGTCTAGTCGTTCTAGCACTTTCACACTAATTGGGGACACTTTTCACTCACACGCACTACCATTTCATTCAATATTCTATGCACACAACACTCAACGCACATGTTGATTTTTGTGGTTGGGCCTCATTATCTAGGTTTTTGGGTGACACTTGATGCACGCTTAAACAAATACTAAGAAAAGATTTTGCCTTTCAGGATCTAAGGGAGCTTCTTCAACTTTATGGCAATGTAATTAGTTGTGATATTGAAAGAGATGTCCAGGGAAACAGTTTGGGATGTGCAATTATCAGGTATAAAAAGAGATAACTAGCTAAAAACTAGTTGAGCTGCGTCGGTGTTTCTAATGAAACAGTAATGACAAAAGGGTAAATTTTACACCGTGAAAAGATGAAAAAACTTACTGACATTTCGGGCGCTAGTCTTTAATTGGAGTAAAAAAGAGAGAGGTGATAGAAAGGAGTGTTTATATACTGAGAACAAGACAAAAAAAAACAATGTGGGCAAGGAAACGAAAGAAACAATCAAAAGACAAAAGAGTGGATTAGTTAAAAGCAAAGCGTTCATTAATCCCGTTGGAGAGCGCAATAGAGTGCGCAATAGGTGAATAAGCTGCATTTCTTTGGTCTTGTGACAATCATTGTTAATCTTAATTATATAACTTAACCATTCCCAAACAATAATGTAAGTGACTCTAGAATTTAACCATGGCTTGTGCAGGCTTGTTATAACTGACTGAATTTTTTGTCACTGATGTCGTTCTACATGCATATTAATTGTGTCACCATGAACAAAGCCATGAAGACATCAGTTTTGTCTTCAATTTTCCAAAAACTCATTGCCTCAAGGGTCAAGGATATAATCATTATTAAACAATGTTCAACTATTTCAGTATGGAAACAAAAGCTGAATGTGAATGGATCATAAGCTGCTTTCATGATGAAGAATATCCAGGTACATACCAAATATTAAACAGTCATTCCCTGAAGGTGAAGTGATTATTGGTGGAATATTTACCAAGCCGTGAGTCTTCGAGCGGCGAGGTAAATATCACCATAATCACCGAGCCTGAGGGGGATAATTATTTTAGTATAATTTTAATGTTGAATATGGAGGGGGGTGGTGGAGGAGAAAATGGGGGGCCCTTTGGAAAACCTCATATTCACTGCTCCAGCGGTGTTTATCGTCTCAGAATCACCGCTCGCTCAACCAATCACAGCTCAAGAAACTCTATATTCAAGTCTGAAATTATTATTTTTTCCACCCTTTTGCCATTCTTTTCTCAGGCTGCTCTTCTTACCTCTATTTCATATTTTGGGCGAGTCATTATTTGAGTCATGGAGGCAAGGGGAGGGTTGGTGGAGGAGAAAATGGGGGCCCTCAAATTTATATTTTTTTAGTGGGGGCCTTGAAAGGTCAAAGAGAGTATTAGGAGGATTTTTTAAATGATTGAAGGGGGGTACCAAAAGACATGAATACTATTAGGTTGGGGTCTGAAAAAATGTTTTCATCAAAAACACTTTCTCCTCTGCTCATCGTCACATCCACGTGAATGATTGGCACAAATGCTGTTTAATACTATCTTTTCACAAGTTTGCATCTAAGAGTAACATTTAAAACTGTACCTGTTCCAGCTTCTTTTTTGTTCTTTCTAGGTTGTACAGGACTCGGCAAACTATCATGTACTTTCCTCAGCTGACACCAGGGCACAATTGAGAAAGTTATTGTTTCCATTAGCTTATATTAGTTTATTTGTATAACATATATAACATAAAAGAATGCAATCCATATTTCCGTGTAATAGTACAGACGTATTAGTACAAAATTACATCAATAAAACAATAGACCTCATAGGCTTTAGCGCAATATTTTCCCATTTCAGACCACGTGTCATTCCCTTGAGAATAAGATTCTTTGTTTGAGTTGTACAGTTCATATTATGTGTCTTCTCATGTGCAACCGTTAAACAAAGAAATGATACTCTAGGGAATGAGACGTGGTCTGAAATGGGAAAACATTACACCCAAGCCGAAGAGATAAATTGAAACCCAAAAAAATACAAGTGTTTAGTGCTATTTAGTTTTTGTGCTTTTTCATGGATATATCTGGTTTGTCCACTATTGGATCTATTTATATTGTTTTGTATTAAATTCTATTATAATCAGTGGCGAATCGAAGGGAGGGGTGCAGGGGGTGCGCACCCTTCCCTGGTTCAACTCTGTGCCCCTACTTCGAAGATAACCAATGCAAAATAATGTCTTTTCCCTTTGATTCTAATGGGTGCACCCCTCCCTAGTTTAACTTTGTGCAATTCACCCCTCCCTGAACAAATTCCTGGATCCACCCCTGATAATTGGCAAATCTTTGTTTACATGTTTTTAGCAATTAGCTAGACCTGTTTTTAGCCTGGGTGCAAATGTTTTTCCAATTCATGCTAGACGCGTTATTCCCTAGAGTATCATTTCTTTGTTTGATGGTTGCACATGAGAAGACACGTGAATATAGATACCACTAAAACAAAGAATATTATGCTTAAGAGAATGTGTCATTCCCTAGAGTATCATTTCTTTGTTTGATGGTTGCACATGAGAAGACACGTGAATATAGATACCACTAAAACAAAGAATATTATTCTCAAGACCATGTGTCATTCCCTAGAGTATCATTTCTTTGTTTAACGGTTGCACATGAGAAGACACATGAATATGGATACAACTCAAACAAAAAATCTTATTCTCAAGAGAATGACACGCACGTGGTCTGAAAGGGGTAAACATTACACCCAAGCTAAATAGGTCTATTATTAGCATATTATTTTATTTATGAACTGAGCAAATGAATAGATAAACACTCTCTAAACCAGAAGTTGGTCAGTTGGTTAGCGGTTGGTTGGTGCGTCGATTATTTGGTTGGTCAGTCGGTTGGTTTATGAGTCGATCAGTTAAATAGTTGGTTGATCGATCGGTTAGTTGGTTATTCGGTTGGCTAGTTGGCTGGTCAATCGGTTAATTGGTTTGTCACTGTGTTAGAACGTTTTACATTGAGTCGAACTGATCGGTCCGAGCGGCTAGTTCTCAGATGGTACCTGTCAGTTCTCAAAACAGGTTCGGGCCGCGTTGGTCCTGTTGTAAGAACTAACGAATACCAATGAGAACTTAAGGCTTAGACCGATCGGTTCGATTTAATGGAAAGAGCCCTTAGTTCGTTGGTCGGTTAGTTGGTTCTTGTTAAAATGCTCGCCTTTAATTTCAACTCTACCCGAGGCTCAATTTGCAGTAGCCCCAGGGTTTTCCAGCTTTTGCTTTTTCTCCAAAACCGAGACTAATTAAAGCTTGATTCGGTGTCATACATAGACTATACCATGGCTGCTAGAGGCGCATTTATGTTCTTGGGCTTCACCACTGCTGTACTTTGGGTGGTGATTAGTGATAAACTCATATCTCAGTTGGTTCGCTCGTTTGATTGCTTGGTCGAAGAGGCGAGGCTAGCCACACTGCATGCACTACTGGCAAAGAGTCCATAGCTCAATTTCCCCAGTAATCTCATACACTCGTTTCAGCCTCTTCCCACCCCAAGTACAGTAGCTTAAGCCGCTTAAAATATCCATTAATGGAGAATTGATTGGAAGAGCTTGGAATAAAAGGTGCACTATGAACACCCTGAAAGAGTATCTCAAGGTAAAGGGGCTACTGGTGGAAAATTATCATGACTCCACTGTGGTGCAAAAAGGGGACAGCAAAAGCAGCAATAACAGCAGCAGCAACAACCCTAACCTAACAGCAACAGCAGCAACATTAATAACAACAGCAGCAGCATTAATAACGACAGCAGCAACAGCAATGACAACGTCATCATCAGCAACAGCAGCAACAACACCAACTTAAAAAAAGACCAACTTAATGACAACAACAGTGACAACAACAGTAGCAACAACAAAAGCAGCAACGACAACAGCAATGACAATGTCATACGCGAAAACAGTATCAGCAAAAACCCAGACTTAACAACAACCGCAGCAGTATCAATAACAACTGCAGCAAGACTGACAAAAGCGACAGCAACAGCAATGAAAACGTCATCAACAGCAGCAACAAAACGATTTTCTTTGCAGTTCCTTCACAGCCTATTTCATAGTTTTTTGCCGTTCTCGTCATCCTCTTTTAACTCAACTGAAAGTCCAACAGGAGTCATCTCCAATTCTGGTTGCTCATCTCCCGTGTTCATATCTTGGTAGGTTTTAAGGTCATCGTTGTTGTCTATGCCCGAGATGTCGTTACCTGCCTCACTCACCGTCAGCAAAAGATACAAACAGCAGGACAAGGAGCAATGTGGGTTCTTCCTGATGGAATTGAGAGTCTGTAGGAACGTTACCATGTAGCGAACTATAAACGTAAAACAAAAAGTGTGTGCATGCCTAATTAAAAATTTTGACTATTGATTCTACATAAAGTAAATTGTTGAATGGTAAAATATTGTTTATATTTTTGGAGGCATTCGAGTTAATTTGTCATCATTTGTAAATTGAAACACTGATGACTATGAGAAACAAATTAGCTATGACCTTTCTATAAAACCTTGGTATAATACAATGATGCTCTTTTTGAAGGATGTTTCACTAATTGAACTTTCAAAGTACTGCAGATTTTTAAAATGCTGAGTAATTCAGTCATGTTACCATTTGAAAACTAAAAAGAAAAGGCTAGAGAATAAGAAATATATAAAAAAGGAGCTAAGAATATAAAGAGCAAGGATGAAGCAAGAAAGCAGGGACGCAAGGAAGCAGGCAAGGAAGCTTTAGGAAGCAGGGAAGCAGGGACGCAAGGAAGCAGGCAAGGAAGCTTTAGGAAGCAGGGAAG